GGTTGCCAAGTAAAAACAGTGAGAATTAATATTTTTGCGCTCAATATGTAGAATAACACATGAACAATTACTTTGCATCGTTTTATCCACAAGCTTTACCATTATTCATATAACAAGTTTAAAAAACATGTATTTTCACTCATCAATGGCTTGACTACCTCCTACCTATGACGTCATATCCCGTAATCATAGTAAGTGACCATCACTAAAGTTGTCTCAAAATGAGAGCAAGGGATACACGAACAGCTACAGAAATCTTCAATTGCACATGTTTTATCGTCGGAAAAAAATCCGACAAACCTAATGGGGTTTGCTTCAACCCCCTCCCCCACCCCCCCCGTCCCCTTTGTACGTCCAATCAATGGTTAAAAGGACTCGCTCATGCAAGCTTAGCTACTCGACTTAGCCGTAATTCAACCGTAGACATTGCAGACTTGTTGGAAGGAGCATGCCCACATGCATGCTTACAGAGACATTGATGTAGAACCTGTAACTTGACAATTTTGCGCCGAAAACGACAGAGGACTAGCTCATTCAAATTTCTTTACGTTCCACCAAGCTTTTAGGTATATTTCCAACAAATGAATGGCAAGCATAACAACAGCTTCCTTCTTTTATAAAAAATTCCATTTTCCTTCAATATGGAATCATTAAATATTGGCTGAAATTTTGTGAGCCGGAGCACCAAAATAAACTCTCTGGAATAGCATCTACAGATCAAATTGGTCAAGACAAAAAGGAATTTTGGCCAAGCAAATTAAAACGGCTATTAAATCTCGCAGGTCTTGGCGACATATGGTCAGCGAAAACGAACACTCCCGCAACCATGAGCTATATTTATTTATTTATTTATTTATTTTATTTATTTATTTATTTATTTAGTCACTCACAAAACCTTACACAACATGAACAAAAGGTGTTAATTAAATTATAAAACTAATGTGACAAGGAAGCCTAACGAAGCTTGAAGCTTATATTAATAGGTTTCCTTCAACTACCTAGTGAACTAAGTTCATGGCTGAGTGCAGAGTGAGCAAGATCAGAAAATTAAACGACAGATCGGCTATCAGTGAGATAATTCTTTAAATTTTTTTTAAAAACAGATATAGAAGGAGAGCTAATTAGTGAAACAGGCAACGAATTCCAGATTTTAGGTCCTCGGTAAAGGATACTGAATTGCTTTATATTTGTTCTACAAAAATGAGGTCTATATTGAGAGGCTAGTCGAGTTTCGTATTGATGGACTTGATTACTACTTAAGAACAAGTCATGAAAGCTATTAGGCAAAAGATTATGGTGATAAGAATACATAAAGGTAGCGACAGAAAATGAATTAATACTAAATATGTCAAGGACTTTAAGCTGGCTAAATAAAGGGGCGGTATTTGCTAGATAGTGAGCTTTTGTTATGAGTCGCACTAGACGCTTTTGCAAAAGGTAAATACAGTTTAGGTTGGAACAGTAGGTGGAGGACCAGGCGACATTACAGTATGTTAAGAAGGGATATACAAGGGAGTAATACAAGGTCATCAAAGTTTGGGATGATAGGTAAAAGCGGGCTTTCGCAATAATTCCCACACTTTTCGAAATTTTTTTTGAGACGAAATCAATATGTGGTTTCCAAGAGAGATGCTGATCAATGAGAACACCTAAAAATTTTGTCTCCGTGACTTGCTTGATCACGGTATTTTCCAGAGTAAGAGGGACATTAACATTGACTTTCTTTTGCCTTGGATGAAAAATCATAAAATTTGTTTTAGTCAGATTTAGAGATAACTTATTCACTTTAAGCCAAATAATTATTTTTGCAAGTTCATTGTTAACAATAGAAACGAGGTGATTGGCATCTTTATGGGAACAAAAGATACTTGTGTCATCAGCAAACAGTAAAGATTGAGTGAGACTAGAGACATTAGGAAGATCATTAATGTAAATAATAAACAAAAGAGGTCCAAGAATTGAGCCCTGCGGGACGCCACATAAAATTTTCCGCGGAGAAGATCGATGGGACCCAAACTGGACAAATTGAGTCCGATCGTCAAGATAGCTTTTGATCCACGCCAAAGCAGTATCCCGAATACCATAGTGTTGCAGTTTATGACACAATATTTCATGATTAATTGTATCAAACGCCTTAGAAAGATCTAAGAAGATGCCTAAAGTTGTTTCATTTCTGTCGATAGCTGAAGATATGTTGTTGATCAAGTCAATTAACGCTAATGCAGTCGAATGATTATTACGGAATCCAAATTGTTTCGAGTATAAAATATTATGCAAATTTAAGAAATTAATCAGTCGGTTGTACATGACTTTTTCAAAGAGTTTAGAAAAGGCTGGAAGAATTGATATTGGCCTGTAATTACTAAAAAGTGTTGGGTCATCTGCCTTAAAAACTGGAATCACTTTGGCTATTTTGAGAGATTCAGGAAACACACCAGTAGACAACGAAGTGTTTATAATGGTTACAAGAGGCTGCGCAATATTTTGGAAAGACTGATGAACTATCTTCATGGATATATTATCATGTCCAGGAGCTTTGTTGGCGTTGAACGATTTAACAATGTTGTTTAATTCACCGACTGTTAGTGGTTGCAATGAAATGGATTCGGAAAGAGCGCTGCTTAAGAAATTCTTGGGTGACGAATTTGTGGAAGGAATTTTGCTCGCCAAATTTGGCCCTATATTGGTGAAGTAATCACAGAATTTATTGGCAATGTCAGTAGGATTGCTAATTTCCATTTCATTTTTGGTGAAGCTTGCAGGATACGGCGATTTAGCGACACGCCTGTTGATCACTTCATTAAGAATTTTCCATGTTTGCTTTAAGTTTGATCTAGCCTTATCCAATTTGTTGTCATAATAATTTTTCCTGGCGATACGAACAAGACAAGTTAGCTTATTTCTAAATGACTTATAGCTGGATTCACGCTCATGACTTGGTTTCCTTAACAACAATTTATACAGCCTAGACTTTGTTTTAATTGATTTCAAGATTCCAGTTGTAAGCCACGGATTATGCAGAGTTTTTAGGTTTTTCCCTTGACAAAACTTTATCGGAAAACTCTTGTTATAAAATTCAGTATATTTTTGTAGGAACCCATTGTAAGCGGCGTTAGCATCAGCATAAATTAGAGAATTCCAATCGAATTCACACAAAAGGTTGTTAAATGCATTAATATTCTGACTAGAGAAGTTGCGAATGGCAACACTTTCCTTAGGCTTAATTGTTGAAGAATGAGCATCAGTGTAACAGAGTGTGAAGATTGGTAAATGGTCGGACAGATCATTAATAATGAGTCCATTGTCACACAAGGCAGAAATATTGTTAGTAAAAATATTATCAATCAGGGTGGCGCTGTACGAAGTAAGTCGAGTTGGTCTCGAAATTAGCGGGTAAAGAAAATGAGAAAATAACGCATTAATAAACTCATTCGTAGCTGAATGCAAATCAGTGTTAAGAAGGTCTAAATTGAAATCACCCATTATGTAACACATTTTATTGTCCCTGGTTACCCGATGAAGCAATTGGTGAAAAGATTCCAGGAATTCATGCAAATTAGCAGAAGGAGGACGATAAACTGTACCGATAATAAAGTTTTTTCCGTGCGGATTTTCGATTTCAACAAAAACAGAGTCAAATAAGGCGGAGTTTGACGAGCACAAATCAGACATAATGTTAAAGTTGAAAGTGTCGCGTAAATAAAGGCCTGCGCCTCCACCAATCCTGCCCACTCTATTCGATGAGATGAAACGATAGCCAGTAATGTTTACATAATCTTCGTTAATATCATTTAGCCAAGTTTCTGAGATACCTATAGCTGAAAACTCATGTTGCGAAGAATCTAAGGGTTGGGTAAATTTGTCAAAATTTTTAAGTAAGCTACGACCGTTTAAATGCAAAAGCGAAAAGTTGATAGCATCCTTCTTATTACCAATTAGGTCATTTAGTTCTTGTTCGTTATAGTAACTACATTTAGAGGTAAGATTTAGAAAATTACTATCTGGACAGAGACTCTTAGACATACATATAGAACAGCAAACATGGATTAGCGAAATACACAATGATGAACGAAAGGACCCGCATCAAAAAAACAAAGAAATTTTAGGAAATTTTAACTTACCCTTGACTACGAAAACTACCTCACAAATGTGAGAAACATCAATCATAGAGTAGCAATCACAAAGCTAAGATTAAGCAACCACAAACTAGCAATTGAAACTGGTCGATACGTTAAACACAGCTATCAACCACCAGACCAAAAAATCTGTCCATTATGTAATTCTGGATTAGAAGACGAGGAGCTTTTTTTGATGAATTGCATGCCTATAGGGATCCTAGTATAGAGCTGTTCAATACGCTAGAAAAGGAAACTAATCTTTTTCTTCACTCTATGACTCCTAGCTCTGCCTTTGCAACGCTGATAAATATGAAGCAAGGAGAGAAAACGCAAAAAATTGTGGCTAAATACGTATGTGATCGCTTCCGCGAAAGAGATAGACGCGTTAAATATAACCTTGTTTAGTTGTATAAATTCTACAAATGTACACCTCTGTAATTATTGCACTAAAATCTTTGTTATCGTTGTAAACACATGTGTCTGTAGGCGCTCGGTCGATAATAAAGCAGTTATCCTATCCTATCCTATCCTATCCTATCCTATCACCCTCCGCAAGGGCTTACTTTTAGGAAAAGCCTAAAAACTGAAAATTTGTGTGAATTTTTTAGACACCATGCAAAGACGAATTAATATAAAAAATTCCCAGTGTCATCAACGGCAAATTAAATCTAATATGCCAATAATTTGCAGTAAGGCCATTCGTGTGGTGGTGGCTCTAAATTATTTAGCCACTAAATCACTTCATCACGGCCGTCATCTTCGGAGCAAAATATGAGAACATTTTCTTACGGTGACTAAAAGTAATTTTCTCTCTCCCTGTTAACGAAAAACTCAAAGTTGTGTTAGCAGTGTATCAGAGAGAATAAGAGCTCCGTTACTAATTCAGCTGCATTCGAGCATTAACTGATCTTTACCTGTACAGTTGCGTCCATCTCCGCTGTATCCGTCTTTGCAATTGCATGTAAAGTAGCCTGCGGTGTTTTTACAGTTGGCATCCGAGTGACAGTCATGGCTACCATCATTGCACTCATCAACATCTGGAAGAAAAAGGTAAAGGCTTTCATCTGACAGCCCAATTTTAATTTCACGAAGAGACCAAAGAAAGCCGCAAAGAATTTTGGCAATTTGCTTTTCGTTATTATTTCCTGCTGCCGGTTAAGGACAATGCATTCTTTCGGGCAACATTGTCTTTATCAGTGTCCAGTTTTTAGAGTTTTCTCAATATTTGTTGTTTGTTTGCTCGATAACAGTCATTAAAAGACATCTAGCCTCTAATCTTCCCGGGAAATCTTGGAAGGTTTTTTTTTATTATTATTTTTTTTAAAGTATATCAAATATTCCATTCTTCTTCAACATGGAATCAGTCCTAGCATTTGCGAAATTTTAGAGCCCAAATGGCACCAGAATGAATCTCAGAGAACTTAAATTTTCAACCTTTTTCGGATCAAACAGGCGCTAAGGCGCCCATGTCGTACATCCCTTCAATATCATCCTCAGCAAGGGCTTACAGTAAAAAAAAGCCTAACAACTGAAAATTCGCGTGAAATTTTTAGACACCATGCAAAGACAAATTAATATAAAAAATTCCCAGTGTCATCAACGGCAAATTAAATCTAATATGCCAATAATTTGCAGTAAGGCCATTCGTGTGGTGGCGGCTCTAAATTATTTAGCCACTAAATAGTTTCACCACGTCGTCATCTGCAGAGCAAAATATGAGACTATCTTCTTTTCTCTCCTCCCTGTAAACGAAAAAACTATTTTCTTACAGTTAATTAACTTAACTTTTTTCCCCCTTGAAAATATACGTATTAGGTCAAAACATTCGTTTTTAATAATCCTCCGACTCTCTATGAATACAAGCTCGGTCGTAGAGAAACATGTGCTTAATAAATGCATGCACTGTGCATGGGCAAGGTTGATTATACATATATACATACCTACATACATCAGTTATTCAAAGCATTAAAGAGCAAAGATAAATATGTACAAAAAATGCCTCGGAAAGGGAGTTTAAGAGATTGGCCCTATGTAAAATACTCTCTCGATCTAAAGAAAAATCTTAAAAACATTGTATAACTGTTAAAATGTAATGTTAAAAATGTAACGTTAAAAATGTACATCCAAAAGGGTAGTTAAAAATAAAACCAATAAAGAATAAAAATACCACGATATATTTAAAAAATGATCCTAAAGAACGCTTAAAACATGCAAGATTTACTACCCCGACAACCCACTGAGGTAACCTTTCCATTCTTTTACAATTCTCACAAAAAATGAATATTTGTAACAGTTACAACTAGATGCTTGAAACTTCAACTTACGATTACTTCTTGTTCGTTTTGACACTAACTGGAAAAAGTCTTGAAAGTATATACATTTATAGCACTCGATTAGAGAAAAATAGACTTCGATTCTTTAGTCGGTTAACACTTTAAAATGGCACAACGTTCCTCGTAGTCCACTTCGCCCCTCTTTTGGCTGAGGGCCAATCTCGACGTTCTCCTTTGGACTTTTCCTAGCGAAACAATGTCCTTTACTAAGAAGGGGCACCACAGTGGAGCCGTGTAATCCAGTATCGGCCTTACCGGAGATTTGTATAGCAACGAGAATTCATCTACACTATATTAGACCCAAGCACGCGCTTAATGACCCCAAGGACTTTGTTCGCTTTATTGACGACTTGGTGAATATGATCGCTCCATGAGAGATCGTACGATATTGTAATACCGAGATCTTTGATATTTCTCACACTGTAAAGAATTTCACCACTGGATCAAGTGTATAGCTCTCTTTCGACTTATCTTATTTGCGTGTTATTCTCATGATTTCACATTTATCGGGGTTGAATTTCAACTGCCAGGGTTTGCACCAGTCTGTGAGTCGAAACAAGTCAGATTGTAGCACACGTGTATCATGATTATCAAGAATGCTCTCTATCTCTCTATAGAGTTTAGTGTCGTCTGCGTGCAATTTCACAGTGAAAGAACTCCAGTGGATATATCGTTGACGTACATTATAAACAAGATGGGCCCTAAAATTGTTCCCTGAGGTACGCCTGATTTTACCAAAGTCCATGACGAATGACTGCCGCTCAAAACAACACGTTGCGACCCAGCAATTAAAAAGGTTTGAAAAGAGGGCCGTCAATACCGCATCTTTCTGATTTATGAAGCAGAGGTCTCTGAGGAAGACTTTGTCAAACGCTTTGGAAAATTCTCATAGAGTTACGTTCGTAGGAGTTCTCTTGTTACCAGATTTTGCCCAGTCGTTAAAACATATCCACTGTAATATAAGCTAGCCGGAAAGCAAAACTGTCCAACATGAACAAACAGCAAAAATAGATTAACCCCCGGACGTACAAAGGGGGGGGGGGTGGATGCCATCCACCCATAAGGTTTTTCTAAGTTTTTTGCTAGTCTGAGGATAAAAAATCAACACGTGACGTTTTCAATAGCTGTTCGTTCATCCTTCGCGCAGATTTTGGGACAGGTTTGTTGTTGGTCAGTTGCTATGGTTACGAGATATGACGTCATAAGTAGCATAAGCCAATCCAATTTTGGGTGAAAATACATGTTTTTCAACTTCTTTCAACAATAAAAGTAAATCTTGTAGCTAAAATCACGTTAAGTGCTTATTTATGTGTTACTTTTCATGTAAAGAACCAAAATTTACCATTTCTCGCGGTTTTAACCTGATTTCTAATTCTTGGTAAATTCCAAGATGGCGGGCAAGATGGCGACCATTGTTGGTGACGTCACAGGCCTCCACCGGCGCCACCACCCACAAAATATACCTCATCTTCTTAAGAAGATAAAAGGCTTTCCACTAAAGTTAAAATCGTTTTAAAATACTGCAACATATCAAAAACTCCGGGAAGGGGTTCCATCGACCCCTCCCCCCCGCGCCCCTTGTACCACGGTGGGGGGATGAATATGTGTGTGCTTCCGAGGGTTAAAAAGACAAATGAAAAACAACAAAACAGCTAATAAATAAAGTGGTAAACAATACTGGTCATAAGTGTCTCTGTACGGTTAATACGTCATACGGTTAATACGTCTATTCTAGATGGCTTCTTCACAACACGACCCATCTTGGGTGTCAGGGGGGAAGTTAGCATTGCTTTGGTCAGAAGGCACTGATGATCGACTGGCCGGCTGCTCGGCGTAGTTCTGGTGATGACAACTGAGGATAGGCTGAAGACTTAGATAGGTCTCCGTGTGTCCAAGGACTCTCTTTGTTGCTATTAGCCTGGCTTGCGGTTTTCTCTAAGGGCTTCAGCTGTACTCTATTGCGCCTTAGCTCAGACCCATCAGCTGTCTTAACATTGTAGGACCGTGGCTCACTCGCCTCTTCCTTCACCTGTGGTGGACGCCATATTTTGGTTCTTCCCTGGAACACGACTATCTGCTCGTCTTGATTTAGGTTTCAAAGTTCGCGTGCCGATCTACTATCATACTGTTTTCTCTGGATGTTCTGTCGGTTCTGCAGTTGTTCTCTGTGGTATCAAGGGCTTGAGATCGTTGAAGCCGTCCACTACTTGGAAACTGTGTGCGGTAATCTCTGTCGTTCAGCAACTGGGCAGGCGAAGGTAGGTTGTTGTCTTCAGGTAGGAGACAGTATGTCAGCAGTGCTAGGTAGTGATCTTGCCCCTAGGCTTCTGCTTCTCACAACCGGTGGCTTTATGCCTGTACTGACTTGGAATATGGGTGTTGGGACCCTTGACGTACACCTGGCATGATCCCAAATTTTGGATTTCAGTCCCACCATATGCTGTTAGCTTCCAAGTGGGCGTAGACTGTAAAACTCTAGGGCTAAGCTGGTTTATACACGGACTTGGTTATGACGTTGGTTTCTGCACCCGAGTCTATCTTGCACAATGCACGTGTTTGTTTTCCTTCGGACTTAGTGCCAGGCAAACCTCTAAAATGGCCTTTCTCTTCACAGGAGACAACGAGCTAGTCGAGGGAGTTGCACTAATTGGGCCCCCCAAAAAACGTGATCACAGGATGACTGACTATGGTCAGGTGCTGATTCACTTGCGCCAAGACTAGTCGCTTCAATTTCATGCACATTTTTTCTTTAACTTTGACAGACATACCTTAAGTGTCCTACTTTCTGGCAGTAGTGACATTCTTCGCTCGGCACTGCGTTCAACTGGGGACCCCAGCCACAATTCCTGCAGGCTTACCGTCAGCTTGAGCTAATATTAGAGGTTGGTTGCCGGTTTCCTTGGCGTTGATATGCTTTAGGAAAACTGATGCACTGCCCTTCGGTATTCATTAGCTGAAGCTGTTTGTCTGCCTACTCTTGTGACTTGCCATATCACGAACTTCCTTGAAGGTGAGTCCATTTCCTACTTTGAAGCAGTCCTTTCGCACACGGTCAGACTTCATTCCTAGCACAGGTAAATTCCTCATGAATTGATCATTGTGCTCGACCGGATAGTTGGCTTCCTTCACAAGGATTCTCAGTTTCGCAATAAATTCTTCCAGAGAGAAGGTACCTTGTCGAAGGTTGTGAAGCTCCCACAGTGCTATAAACTCATTGGAGTGTGGCTTGACAAAATTTCATCCAGTAATTGGCCAGCTTTTTTGGCTCTTTCGCGGACATGTTCCAGTTGTTGAACAGTTCTATTCCGTGTTCTCCCGACCAGCATGATAGATGCTTGCATTAAATATTTTGATTTCGTCTTCAACTTTCGCTATCGGCCTGGTAAATAAGTCGATAAGTCCAGCGTACTGAAGGCCCCTTGACAATGAATAAAGGACTCGTTAGTTTGTTTGTTGTGTCACTCGCTCGTTCGTTCACTGAAGTTGGTAGACTTGCAGCAGTCTCCAGTTAGATTGTCGTCCATATAAACGAAAGTTTTCATTTTAATTTCTACTTAACTTTTTCTAATCCCGCTTCTGTCACCATGAAAATGTACGCATTAGACCAAAACACTTGTTTTTAATAATCCTCCGACTCTCTATGACCACAAGCTCGGTCGCAGAGAAACATGTGCTTAAGTGTATGCACTGCGCATGCGCAAGATTGATTATGTAACACCCCTGTAAACCAACAAAATCAAAGTTTTGTTATCAGTGTGTCAGAGAGAATAAGAACTCCTTTAGGAGTTTGACAGCTGCATTCGAGCTTTAACTGATCGCTACCTTCACAGTTGCGTCCATCTCCGATGTATCCGTCTGTACAATTGCATGTAAAGTAGCCAACGGTGTTTTTACAGGTGGCATCCGAGTGACAGTCATGGCTACCATCATGGCACTCATCAACATCTGAAAGAAAAAGGGGAAGGCTTTCTTCTAAGAGCCCAATTTCAATTTCACGAAGAGACCAAAGAAAGCCGCACAGAATTTTTGCAATGTGCCTTTCGTTATTATTTCCTGCCTCCGGTTAAAGGCAATGCATTATTACCGCCGGGCAAAATTGTCCTTATCAGTGTCCAGTTGTTAAAATTTTCATAATGGTTGTTGTCTGTTTGCTTGATAACAATCATTAATTTTTTAAGGTGACTCCCTAGCCTTACATCGAGCACTTTTTAATTTTGTGGTGTCGGCAATTCCAACAATGGACAAAATGCTGTGGGAGCATATACTTGAGCGCAAAAATGTGTCTATCCTCATCGATAAAGATCCTTTTCGCCTTGCCTTAAGAGAACTTAAGATATTTGAACTGATTCACAAGTCACGGAGTGGCCAAGCTCGAAAAAATCTGCCTCGCATTTTAAAATATTGTTGCTTAACCTTCGAAATACAATACGATTGTTTCTGTAACCTAGGCATGTTGACCTTTTAAAAGAGAACGGCTTTTTTATGCCCAATTTAAGGATTTTATTGAGACCAGTTTGCTCTCTATAAAGGATATACAGACAAAACAACGGTTCTAATAAAACCCATTAAATGGCAGCATAAATTCGTCCGGGGACCACAGAAGAAAGAGGAGATTAAGCTTAGAACATTTTAAGAAACGGAAGCTTTTTCTTATTTTTTTATATCGAGCACAGAGTTCGCAAGCTCACCCTTTCAATTGGCGAAAGAAGCGAGCCGCAAGAGAACGCGCGAGCAAGAGTGCAGGAAAAGTGGGCTCTCCCTAAGTCACCAAGCAACGTTCTCAGAGCTCTTCGTTTATGAGCCCTAACCATTTCTGCGTCTGCTTTTGGCGTGCCGCTCGCGCATGGCTTCCCTCCATATCATCCCAGAAATAGTTTTTTTCTGAATTCTTTCGGACTAGACTTTTCCAGACAATGAGAGAGGGGTGTTCATCAAATCCAACCAATCCTCCCCTCTCTAGCACACGGGCCTGGTGAATATACCACCTTAAATATTAGCAATGACAAGAGGCATTCTTACCATAACAACCATACAGCTCTAGTCTCACTGATATGTGGTTGTGCCATTTTGTCGGCTTCAAACGAATGTAACGACTCGTAATAAGCTTGGTCAGGTTATGACGAACAGCAGTGTTACGGTCATTGTTTCCAGCAAATACCTGCAAATAAATAAGATCCATGATATCAGAGAGAGGTTCATTATTCCATTGGTATTTCCTATATTTGTGGGAATTCAGCTAAAACAATCCGCTAACGATTGGAATAGGAATCCAAGTTCCACCGACAAGGAATCCCCAATTGAGTACTTGGAATCCGGAATCCACAGCTTGAAAAACAGAAGCCAAGACTGCCCTGGATTACCTTGAAGTGTTTAATGGTTACCTTCCTTTAAGTCTCTGAATAAAGTCTTTTTTAATGTCGTTATAGTTTCTGCGTGCATTATGGTAACTGGTTTTGGAAAACGTTGGTGGTGATTTTTCTATTTTGGAAGTATAGTTTGTATTTTCAACCAGCGTAGCAAACAGACCAAAAACTGGTCAGGAGTGACAACCATGATAAATTTAATTCATTCCTTGGAGTATTAACGACAGTGACATTATTCCTAGCTGTCCTCGTACCGTACGCAAATGAGAGGGAAGCTTACTTAATTAAGATAATTATATTAGAGATAATGCTTAAAAGAGATGTGGGAGCTTCTTAGAAAGCTTACTGTGTGCCGAACGTTATACCGCGAAAGCACAGTCGACCACACACACAGTCCAACACCAGCAGTGCTTTTACGCTTCTGATACAATCCAAGTGGTTAAGGGTTGGGCTACCAACTCAATACAAGAAAAAGGAACATTAAGTTAACCTTGATAAATAGCCTTAAACCATTTTGGTGGGCAACACGACCTTTTTCTAAAGTTTTAGTTAATTTCGCAATTTGTTGACAAGTACCCACTCTGAGGGCTTTCCACAAAGTTGCTCGAGATTTTCCTAAAAGCTGCTCGTAATGTCTCAAAAAGCTGCTCAAAAGTTGCTCAAAGGACAATCAAAGTTGCTTTTTGTATCGAAAGTTGCTCAAAAGTTGCTCGAAAAAACAAAACCTTTCCTAAAATATGCAAATTGAACAACAAATGTAAGATTTCTAAGCATTTTTATGCAATTCCGCGGCGTAACCAGCGTTGCTAAATAACTTTACCCTCAATAAAACCAAAAAATGTAATGAGCCAATAAAATTGTTGAATGACCTTCTTCATCCAAGACACTCAAGTCAGTCGAGTGTGAATCTTCGTCCACTACTACCGCTGACTTTGCAGCCCGGCTGGTTTTATCTTATATATATTTATCTTATCTTATCTGCTCCAGGGGGGGAGGACTTGGCTCCTTTTTTTACAGGAAATTCATAAATTGCCTACTAAAACATTGCGAAATAAGGAAGAAAGGCCAATTTAAGCACTAAAGGCTGCTCCTATATCTTAGAATTAGAAGATAACTAGAGAAATTGCTCGGAATGCAAACAGTTGCTCGAAAGGAAAAAAAAAGTTGCTCGAAATACGAGAAGAAGCCCTACCCACTCCCACCCTTGCCCCGCACTTGACACCAACCAAACTAGACGTTCGGCTTGTTCAGTTTTTAAAGAGAAATGGTAACAAAAATACAAGGGTACATTTAAATGCATCTTCATCTGGATTTTGACAGAGTTAATACATGACCCTAGTATTAAGAAAAAATAATAAAGGAGTATTTACCTTCGCCACCGTGTGTCCCATTTCTTTGTAGTTTTCGAAGTCTGAATTTTGGTAACTGCTGTACAGTAACTTGTATTCTATGACCCACCAGTCATAGTCATCTCGTCCTTGGGTAGCTAAACCGGTTACTCTGGTAAAATTACTGACCAGGTCAACCTGGAGCCATGGATTAACGTCATTTTCAGCTGCTGACCAAGCGCCCCCTCTGACTTCGTCTTCTTTGAACTGCAGTCTGCCCTGGTGGGCATAGTGGGTGGCATGCCACTGATTGGCGTAATAGGTAGTAGCAACCCGGCACTGGTCCGCATGGTGAGTGGTATTCCACTCAGAAGAGGCACTTATCTGTCCATCAGAAATGTTGCCGCTTTCCATACCCAGGGCATTTTTGCATTCTAAAGATTTCACAGAAGGGCAATTTCCATGAATACAATGAAGACTCAGCAAAATATAACCTATGTATATTTTAAATGTCAAAAATAGGTCTCGATAGCCGTAGTGGAATATTTTTTACTACTAGCAAGAGAAAAAGAGGTCCTAACACAGCAACCTGTGACATTAGCCTTGTTCTACTGTTAGCGCGTCTGAATTGTGATCGTTTAGATAGTCACAAACTATTTTCTCTCTGTAATGCCTTTAAGACGTAAACCACGGCAGTGTGGAATCAATCGCTCTGAACAGCCGCAATTCAGTCGACGACAAAAATTGATGATGACACCTCTGGCACCCAGGGTAATAGACACTAGATACTTGCATGTATTTTCATGGATAATATAAATAATAATGGAGTCTATTCATAACTTAGGAGATACGTAAACTTCTTATTATTCGTGATCATGATTTTCATATTGTAGGATCGAAGAGGAGAGTCACATGACGACACCTTCGCAACTTTATAAATACAAGAGGTTTAAAAAAGCCAGAGGCACGGATGCCCACGATAAAAGGAAAAACCGCAACATCAGATAGCCGTACGAAAAAGGACCACCGAGGAAATAACTCACCAACACAGAGGGGATCGAATTGCGCTTTTCACGGTTTAGGAAATTCAAACCAACGAATCATAGTAACGCATTGTGCTATACTTTATAAGGTTACGTGTGTATCCAGTGGACCTTATTACAAGTAATACTAGCAATACGCACTCGGTACGTTGTGTTCTTATTTTCTTGATCCTTCTAATGGGAAGATCGCAGGGCAAATATTATTACTTTGTTATTAAGCATGTTTATCTCTTAGCTTAACTGCTTAGTGAGAACAAGTTTTTTAACACCATTTTGCATTCATTCGATAACTTAAAGGGACACAGTCAGCTACGGGAATGCCCCGACCTGGACACTACTTTTGTCCGTTTGAAAAGAGTTTACGTCAACCCGAAATCAAATGAACGCGTCGGCTACATCTAGAAATCCGCTTCAATCTTGTCTAGTGTTTCATTCGATCCTCAGTCTTTTACAGCAAACTTTAATTCATCCTATGACATTATTTTATCATATTTGGTTAAAAACAGAATCTAAAGGAACATGAACAGAAGAGGTGAGAAACGCGTAGGCGCCGAGCGGGAGAAATCGCCTTCGTTTACCAAAATAATAAAAGAAATGAATCAATAACATTGGCGAGCAAATAATCATTATATGCATTTGGAAAATGGATAGAAAAGGTTACATTTGTTTGGAAAATCAAGCTTTCTCGACCTTGAACCTCCGGCAATGGTTCATGCCGATTCCGTGTCATTTCTCACCTCCACTGATGATCGAATTCAGAAGTATTCGTCGATGTTTGGCTTTTCCTGGACAAATCCATCGGTGAATTCTCAATGGTTTATAAAAAATGTGTGCTCTGATGTAATCACGATTTGGGCTTGTAACTAGTGCAACTCTACAAGGTTTGTTTTGAGGGAAAATCGCAGGGCAAATATTATTACTATGTTATTAAGCATGTTTATCTCTTGGCTTAACTGCTTAGTGAGAACAAGTTTTTTAATATCCATTTTGCATTCATTCGATAACTTAAAGAAAACTTAAAACCGGCATTTAAGGCTCTTAGTTAATTTAGATACTCAACTGACAACTGACATTAATTTTTTAGCCCTCCCCTTCCATCCAGAGCCTCCTAAGTTGATGAAGATGCATGTAGAACTATAGTTTCAGTCTCAGTCTAAATTTTTGGGACACTTCATTATACGGTCTTCTTCCCCTCCCAATGTTGGCGTTCAAGATTTGGTGAGTTAACAGTGCGATAAACAACATTGTGAGGACGAGGACACCGGCCAGAAGGAAAAAGAGGCGTCGGGTGGAGTGTCCGAGCTAATTTTGTCGCGACTGTAGCTTCTAGTCGAAGCTCAGTAATGAGAGTGAATATCCCTAAACATAATTATAGTCATATTAATAACAAGTATGGATCTTCGAATATCTCCCTCCAAGAGACTCGACAGTAAGCTAGTTCCATTTTATTATATTTTTGTGTCTTTCATCAGGGTGCTGGGAAAGTGAGGTGTGCCCTGTTATGAAGACATGTGAAATGAAACTCTCTCTTTCCTAACCTTTACACTGCCAATGTTTACCATGTGGAGCAAACCCAAGAATGCACCCACAGCGAAAAGAGCCAAGTGTGTTGATGCATTCCCTGTTATGTTCAGGCGTACACCACCACGACCGATTATCGGACTGACATTCATCAACATCTGGTGAGGAATAAAGGAAACGCTATAAGAACAGTTGAAAAGAATATTAAACTAAGGTATTAATAGAGAGAAGAAAGGTGGCGTCACGTTGCCATGGTAGCAAAACTTCTGGATCACAACGATAGAGTGCTTTTAAAGCAAGGACGGCGGCGACAACAAAGCCAACGGTAGAAAATCGATAGGTTTATATTAGCAAAAAAACCATGTTGCGCGTGCATCATGCTCTTTTTCTTCCAACATGGAACTTAACTTCCCGCTCTATGGAGTTGGTGAACACAGCACAAACATTTTCTTTTTCTTTTTCTAAACTCAGATACGGCACTTTTGCATGCACTTCAACCCCAGAGAATTTCGCCAAGATTTAACAAATTAAATGAAACTGAGTAAGATCGATGAAGTTTGAAACAGTGGGAATCCCCTTTTTAAGTGACGTTTTTGGTTTGTTGTCATCCAAAAATTTTGCTACCATGGCAACATGGTGTAACGACGTCTCTCTGTTATTGTAAGAAAACAGCCACTTTGCTTTTAATCACGATGCTTACCTTTACATGTAGCTCCAACTTTTTCAAACCCATCTTTGCAGTCGCAACGGTAAGAACCAGGCTCATTCACACATTCTGAGTTTGGCGGACAACGGTTTGACTTCTGGGCAGCACAGTTTTCTGTGTCTATAAATAAACAACAGAGCTAATGTACTGTATAAGCAATGCTTGGACTGAGAGTGAAGGAAAAACAAATAACATTTGATAACTATAATGTTGCTAATATGATACAACGTCTGTTTCCAACTTGGCATGCAAGTATATTACCACCCTTTTTTTCTAGGTTTTTAATCTCATCTTATAATTCTTTTCACCTCGCCTCCTTTGGTCATCGAGCGATACCTTTGCCGACTCCTTGCGATTAGTTTAATACTAATCCTTTAACGAAAAATTAACCGGTTTGCCGCGTTTGTCAATGCACCTAACGACAAAGCTTCCTCCATGAGCATACTAGTAGTAAATCTGTATACTAATAAGTGCGTGAGAGAATACTGCAAATTTGGCAATGTGTTGTTGTTTTTTTTCTTTTCTGATTTCAGCCTGAGAGCTGAAATAACTCTAATGATATTTATTTTGATTAAAATATGCCTCACAAATAAATGAGCAAGTTCATACTATTATTTATATAAGAAGGGGTTTTTTCCCCTCCTAAAAATTCAAAATTAAATTCTTGTGTGATACGGCGTCTGAATTTCCCCAAAGATTTCAACCCAATTTAGAAACTAAATAGAGTAATGTTAGGTCAAGATAATTCACACAATTTCCTCTTGCTTTCAGCTAATACCTTGCTGGCAGTCAAGGATATCGTTATGGCATTCATCAATATCTGCAATTGATCAAGAACATAAAGTGGAAAGCTGAAAACAGGCGCTAGTAGAAGATATATCATTATATTTTTTCAGCCTTATTAACCAATCAAAGGCAATTCGCGTAGAAGAAAGTTTAGAATATGCAACCTCATTACAACCATTATACCGCCGCCTGGTTAGGTTAGTTGGGAAAGCGCCGGTCTGCTGAGCGTGAGGTCGCGGGTTCAAACCCCGGCCGAACCCAAACTCAGGGTCTTAAAATAACTGAGGAGAATGTGCTGTCTTTGCCTTTCCTCCGCTCTGTAAGTTCCGTACCATATGGTGGAGGTGATAAGTAAATTAAATTATTACAATAGTGTAAAAAAGCAACCGCTAGATAACTGGACGTTTATTCAGGTGTCGATGCCGTGAAAAAAAGCATTCAGCCGACCGTATTAAAAAGTTCCTCAATTAAAACAACAATTCTTGCTCTGAAGCGCCGGTTAACAGTAAAAGATATGGCTGCTTGCTCAGCAGAGGAGCTGTCACTTTTTAATAACTTAACAATCCGGAAACAATACCTCGAAAAGCCACGCCTACTCCTCGAAAATTGCCTCCCTTTGGACCCCATTCTCCTGAGAATTTCCGTTGCCCTCACGGAAGTCGAAGGGTTTGGATATTTTCTGGAGCTAAAATATATCGTTCGTAGAAGTCATCGTTAGCTTCAGTTAACGTGGCTGGTGATAGTTCCCATCATTTTTCATCACGTTTACATTAATATTAGGTTTTCCGTTGATGCTATTATAGTAGGGACACGCTGTCAGTTTAACACGACACTGCTTACTTGACTGACGGCTTTAGATACAAAAACAAATAGATAAACACACAGTTGTTGCTTGGGCGTCACGGTTGACGAACAATGAGTTATTGTCTCCTAGCTCTGTATCTTACCTACACACTGATCAGACTGATCACTGGGATGCTTTCCATGTCTGTATCCATCACGGCAGACACATCTGTAGCGTTTGTCCGTGAATCCTACCTGACACGATTTATTCTCTCTAGCAGGGCAAGGATCTCCTTTCATTTTACAAATATTCTGAAGGTAAACATTTTTATTTTTAATTTTGTCATAATTTTTTTTTTAACCATTATCATTACTAAACCTTTGGGCCCGGTTCATGGAAAGATGGTTAAGTTTAAGCCAGGATTAAGCCAAACCTCAATCACAGTTTTCTCGTCTAAGAACAACTCGAGGTTACAAAACACTGTTGAGCCTTTACCAAGAGATACACTAATGATAACACAAAATGTTACCCAAAGCAATGAAGAGGAATAAAAATACAGAAATGGAACAAAATTTTAATCTTGGATTAAAGCTAATCGGCCTTTCAGGAACCGGGCCTTGATTATCATTGTCATTGTCGCTGTCATTATCATTATCGCTATCGTTATCGTTATCATTTTCATGATTAATCCACTTCGTCTCTGCGATTTCAAACGCTTAGCGAAGACGATTTGGCGAATAACTAAATGGAAAAAGAGCTACAAGAAGACAAAAAAGACACTGGAGGTCGTTGACTGTTTTAAAAGAATATTTGCTAGAGAAAAAAACTTTCCGTTTGCTAAAACTAGTTGAAATGATTTTAAAAAATGAAGTAGTACATCCCAAATGTGATTCTATGTCTAGCATTCTGCACCGAATTTGAATTAGTACATATTGGTTTCTGGGCATGAGAAGAATAAATAACGAGAGTAATCGGGAAAAAACCTCTCTTTTAAGGTGCTAGAACCAACAAGAAACTCAACTTAAGTATGGTGTAGCTCTTAAGATTCAAACACTGACCACATTGGTAGAAGATGCGCGCTGTCATCACTGCTCTTCGCTGGGCAGGGTGTTCGTATTATCCACTACCTCAGCCTGACATCGTCTGATGCTACACACTTCGCATATATATTCCGCCATATCCAGTAATAGATAGAAGGGAAAAGATTCGAGTAAAGATAGACCTACAAAGGTTAGAATACCAGGACACTACGGGATGCTATGAAGAGGTCAGAGACAAATTGAAGTTATGAAAGACAAAGGAGACCCAAATGACTAAGAAAAGATATGAGGTTTTTTCAAAGAGGAAAAATCAGTCTTGGTTAGGAGAAAATGCGCATGGCAGAAGATCGTTTAAAGAAAGCAGTAACCAAAGGACGTAGACGTCTGAAACAGTTCAAGAGATATTGACTAAGGATATAGAAAGGTGAAAGTAAAGGCGCGCGTGAAGACCGAAAGGAAAAGGGTGACACTTTCTAGAGTCACAACGGGATTCATGGTCAAAACGGGAATTAAAATGAATGCAGTAGTCGGACTGCTCAGGTAAGAACAGGCTGCAGAGCAGTTTTTTAATACTGAGGAACATTCCAGATCAAGTAATGAATTTGTGTCATTTGTGACTTTTAGGCATTTGACTCTGTCTACAAAAGCACACAGCTCATGGATCATATGCATTATGCTATGCTCATGGATGATGTATAAATAGAAAGGCTGTGTTGTGCCGGGTTTCCTTTTCCTCCTCATCCTTAATTGGAAAACAGAGGAAAAATGAACTGGAATCTGATGGAAATTTATACACATAAGACTTGAAAACTTAGCCTGCGTACCCCTCGCGTGTCTCCCTCGCTCGCCCCCTTTCTCTCTTGCGCCCACTACTTCCAAGCGTCTGCTACGCAGGCTATGAAAACTTAGAATATATGAAAAGAAACTTAAATGAGAACCCATCCAAAAGATACTGATTATGGCAGGATGATTGCATAGGTACACGTTTGAATACAGCCACATGTAAAGAGAGCATAAATGAAAGGCAGGTGCAGGACAAAATTAGAGTTTAGGGTGAAGAGGTAGAAGACTAGTTAATGAGCTGTTCTGGAGTGAAGTTGTAGATGTCAGTGAAAAGATTGTGGCGGCCCGACAGAAGAAACAAAGACAGGTTAAGAACAGCTGATTGTGTGGGGAAAGCTTAAGGGTACCTGACCTAGTCTGACCTAGGCTTTGAATACGAGTAGCATTGAAAACGTCCAAACCTGTCGCGAAACGAGAAGCCAAATTTAGTTGAACTTCGGTCTCAGAACAGTGAATAGCCAATTGAAAGGACATTTTCTGAATTACGGGTGTCAATCAAAACGCGCGAAAACTGCTACCTTCTTATTGAATACGTAATATGTCAATTAGAGACCTTGTCACGGTTTTCGACGCCATATTGACGAGTAGGCAAACGCGTAAGAAATTACAGGGATTGTATGAGAATCTAATGTCGAATAATTTCCGTAGAACGGCTTTTCTAAAAAAATATGATTTGTATAGTAAAGCTTCACTCCTAAGGATTCTCCTGAAAAAATTTGAGGCCGTTACATGCACTGGAAGACCTAGAACCACTTTTTAAAATTTTCCAACATTTGTCAATAAGAAGTCCCGGGAAAATTACAGACAAATATATGGAAAATCTAAAGCAAGCCTCTGGAGAAATTTAAGCACAGGTACGCCCCCAAATTTTTTTAGGACAATCCCTTGCTTTGTAGATTTAGTTTACAATTGATATTTTTTTTCAGAAAAGCCGTTTTACGGAAATTATTCGACATTAGATTCTCATACAAACGCTGTGGTAATGGTAATAACCGACTAGTGACAAACGGCGAAAAATATTACTGACGATAGGCCAGGAGAGGATTCGTCCCATAACCTAGTTTGCCGGGATGCGACAATAGATATGCAGTAAGGATAAATTACTATTTCTCGCTAAGTGTGTAGAAGGTTAATGAGTCTATATCCAAATTTTCGATGTGTTAATATATTTAGGTAGTAAATGTCAAACTTGGACACTGTAACATTTATCGCATATGGTTTTACCTCAACCGAGTAGTGAATAAAGTTTTTCTTTCTCCATAGCAAAGACTGGCTTTCATCAGTGTCATTGTTTAGTTCGCAAGATCTATTCCCCGCAACTGCAGGACCCACGTTGATAGACACACAGTTTGGTTCAAGGAAACACTTCACTCTACATCCTCCTTCATTGGCTACTTTTTCTCTTCTTATTACGTGACCTCGAAGCACCTTGTCTGCTATGGGCCCCTTGAATATTATGACTCGGTTATATTCCGCTGCCAAAACTG